GTTTTGGTGACAACGCAGCTTTTCCAACATGATTCTGCATGAAGCATGGATGAATTCTTTGAGCTTGACATCATCGCAGCTCCAGACCTACGGTGCACGTACGCCAGTCCTGATCACCCCGCTGCAGCACCCCCAAGACCCCCTCCACTACAAGACCCCGGCATTCATGACATGTCACACCTTTGCAGCTGAAGACCCACCACCACCCACAGACCCCTCCAGCACCGGCTACCGCTACATGAACGGGATCATGCACGACATTGCCCACATCACTCAGATCCGAGCATGTCCAGCACGACCATGTCTTCCAGTAGCAGTACAACATCCACTACATCGACCTCTTCGACATCCAGTTCGTCCACGTTAACTTCATCAACGTCTACTTCAGCCACATCTACGTTATCCAGCGGAGGGTTTAGGGTTTAGGGTTTAGGGTTTAAAACCTCGACCTCGACGTCATCGAGCACCAGCTCATCAAGCTAGACATCGTCGACTTCTACGTCCGCAAGCAGCACCGGCAAACCCTTGCCCTAAACCCTAAACCCCAAACCCTAACAGCACGTCGAGCGCCTCGAGTACCTTGAACGAGTTCAGCGTGTTCATTGCTTTGCTTAGGGTGATATATCATATAAAGCTTCATTCGTGACCCCTCTACCTCATCATCATGGACGTTCGCCTCGGCAGCTTGCTTGAGCATGTCCTTCTCCAGCAGATCTCCAACTACATGAATATGTGGAGCACTAAAACAAAAAGTGTGTGTGTGTGTGTGTGTGTGTGTGTGTGTGTGTGTGTGTGCGTGTGTCTCTGTGTGTGTCTGTGTGTCTGTGTGTCTGTGTGTTGCCTCTCTTTTTTGTTTATCTCTCTCTCTCTCTCTCTCTCTCTCTCTCTCTCTCTCTCGCTCTGCGTGGGGGGTGGGTTGGTGGGTGGGTGGGTGGTGGGTGGGGGTGTTTGTGTGTGTGTGTGTGTGTGTGTGTGTGTGTGGTGTGTGTGTGTGTGTGCTTTCTCTTCTCTCCTCTCTCTCTCTCTCTCTCTCTCTCTCTCTCTCTCTCTCTCTCTCTCTCTCTCTCTCTCTCTCTCTCTCTCTCTCTCTCTCTCTCTCTCTCTGTGTCTGTCATTGTACAGTAGTCAGATTCATTCTCGCTTCAGGGCAGGCAGCCTCAGTCCTCAACCTCGCATCTCAAGCCCAAAGACGTAGGTCCTCAAACCCGTCGGCCAAACTGCAAACGGAAAAGCCGTGCATCCTGGAGGACCCCAGCACCCTGACTCCGTCCAGCGGCCTATTTCCCGGCCACGCTTGCCAAGGCGGAGCCCGAGGAAAATGGCAGGTGTGGTGAGCAGAAGCTGACGAAGGACCTAACAACGTTGAGGCGCAGTTTGCTTAAAGATTGTGGATCTAAACTATAGGTTGCTCACACCTTCAGCGTCCCTGAGCCCAAGTCCCCCGACCTTATGTGACAGCACGTGCATAGCTGCAGTGCCTCTGCATGGCGGGAGTCTTGCAAGCGCACGACCACCGAATTTACTGAAAAATGATATCGTTTGCAAGTCTAAACGGTCAGGGCATCTTCGAAGGTCGGTGCTTTGTGTACAGGCCATTTCTGGTTTTTGTGCGCGTAAATTTCATGCCAGGCCAGGACGACAGTGCTCGAAAGCACATGCACCGAAGCACCACATCTGAAACAATGAGCCCAGGACCCCGAGATTCCTACAATCTCATAATGAGCCCAAACCCTACTAAATCAACTCCAAACTCGCTAAACCTCAAGCCCCAAACCCTATATAATCCTACCTAAAGCCCTGGATCGCCAACGCCCGATGCGACGCGATTGTTTGGCGTGTACGTGAGACTAGCGTCAAGGCCCCTGCTAGACCACCAGAAGCATCTCCATGGACGAACGTTTCCGCCCGCTTGCACAGTGTTGACATGTTGGCGAATCCTTGCAGCCGATAATGGTTGGTGCACTCATCCTGGGTCCCTGCCGGTAGTTGTGCGGCTTGGGCCTGAAGGGTGCTGTGTGAGAGGGACGGTGTTCGCAGGCCGCAGATCCCTGCTGGTCGACCCCATCCATCCATCCATCCATCCATCCGTCCACGAACGTTTCCAAGTCCACACAGCTTCACATGGACTTCCGCTGGGCTTTTGGGTTTTGGGGTTCTATTTAGGACTGGCGGCTGATGGCCGCCTAGGCGTTTTAGGATGTATGTCATTAAGGTCTTAAAGGACTTCAGGTTATTGGGTCCATGCGGATTCTGGGGTAGCACTCGGCCCGAAGCTCTTCTGGAACTATATAGAACCCCAAAACCCAAACCCAAGAATCCTTAAACACCCTAAGGGATTCTGGCTTAAGGTTTCAAGACTGAGGGTTCTGAGGGCCTTGTAGGGCCTATATACACTTAGAGAGGTACTGGTGCCTTACAAAGGGGGATGTATAGGACGGCCCCAAGTACGAATCACCTATCTAGAAACTGGCCTGCTGAGGTTAGGCTTAGTAGGCGGTTTGGGATCTGTGGGGCTTAGAGCTGTTAAACTGTTGGAGGGAGCCCCCAAGCCCCAAACTTTAAAAACCGTACACCCCAGCACCTTGCCGACCAGAGACTTTGGTCGCTCGTCTGCTTTGCCCGGGCCATCCTTCAGGCCAAAGCTTTAGGCTGGTTTCACGTTTTGGACTTGAGCTGTTGTTAGGGTTTAGGGTTGTTTGCTCGGTGTTGAAAGTAGTCTTGTTTAGGTTCTTTAAATGCGCATTTATGGTTTGGGGCTTGAGGAGCTGGAGGGTTTTAAGTGTTCTTGTGCTTCTAGAGTTTTAAGGGCTGTGTCTCTTGCGGGGTCTTCTTAGACTAAGCTAGGTTAAACAAAGAACACAAAAACAACTAGCGCATTTTTAGGGCTTGTGGCATAACTTAGTGCCTCTAATCCCAAAATCCGAACAGGGCACGGGGCCCGCTTTGCTTGACTTAAGGGAATCGGTCTTAGGGCATTGGGTTTGGGGTTTGGAGGTTATTTAGGGATATACAGGGTTGAGGGCATGAACATGATTAAGGGATGCAAAGAGTTTAGCTTCTTTAGTACTATTCAGGGACACGAAGGATTTGGGGCTTGAGGAATGTTGGATTGAAAGAACACAGCTGACAGCATCTTATCATCCAAAGAAAGTCTTTAAGACGAGCTCTTGGTGAACCCAGCTAAGCACCCCAATGACATGCTTGCAAAACTTTCGAGAGACGTTCTTTATGAGCCCTACCGTCAGAAGCCAACAGACCCTAAACTCCAAACCCGACGTGAGCCCTCAACCAGAATCTCTTCCTTACCAGCCCTGCTCTCTCAGAAAGCCCATTCCGCGCAAGGCGGGTGTATGTGGGTTTGGAACTGAGGGCTTAGGGCTTCTGGGGGCTCAGTGCTTCCAAGGGCTTAGGGCTTCCTGAGAGGTCAGGGTTTCAGGGCTCAGAGCAAGCGAACGATAAGCAAAGCCATGAAGTTGCACCCACGCCCCGAAGATGAGGCCCAAAGAAGCGCCAAAGGCAGCATAGCCAGCACCTCCCACCTGACAAGCCGAAACCAGTTTAGATGCAAGATTTAGGGTTCAGGGTTTAAGACGTTCTTGGGATGCAAGCCCCAACCCTAAACTTGCTTATCTGCCGACTGAATGGAACTAACATGTCAGGTTCCAAGTTTTTAGCGGCATCAGGATGTATGAAAAGCGGTTGGGATGAGATTGCAGTGCCAGGGCCTTCACTCTGGAATTGCAACAGGATGGTAAGCTGCCCTAATCCCTGAATCCTACCTAGGATGTCAATTCCTGTTTACGGGTTCAGAGATCGCACCCCCACAACAAATACTCCAACACAAATCGCTTGCAGCCAAGCGAATCCCGAGGTTAAAATGGCTCCCCCAAGCCTACCCAAGCTCTAATGCCACGCTCTGACATGGCTTTGCGCAGGATGCTTGGCTAGGGATTAACAGGATTGGCTTGATGGTGCAATATTGATGCTGACACACATGTGCATGTATACATATACATGCTTAGATGTTCGTCCACATCACTGTCCCCTTCGTCTATACAAAAATTGACCTACCCATATAAGAGGCTACAACAGTGTTTGACCAAACAACCATTGCACTTCCGTTTTGGGTACCTTATGTTTATGGCTGGCAAAAGAATTAGAAAGTACAGAAAGTTGATGCCGAGGGTCTGGGTAAACCCTCCAACCGACCTACAAAGGATCCAAACTCATATCATTAAGTCGAGCTGGGCATTCCGTCTTGGGCTCCATTTGCAGGCGTTCTACTGTTGAGTGATGCTGAAGCATCTTGTGTACGACTCATACAGTAGGCCGAAGCGCGGCGCATAAACCGATAAACCAGACTTTTCAAATGCTGGCTGTGAGATGGGATCTGTTTGCCTTGTGCCTGCGTTGCGGAGATCCCGAACCAAGCTCTGCCAGTGTGCCGAACGCAGGTCACCGGTTTGTGGTCTAGGGTTGCTGTAACCATATATCCTTAGAAACCGAAATCTACCCAATCAATTCCTGCACCTTCTAAAGAGTATACACACATAGAGTCTGAGTCCTCTGAAGGCGCATCCTGGTGCATTTGCTACTCATGTCGCTGCAGCACAGCCGAGGCTTAAAAAATCAGTCGTCTGTTAGCTGGCGCACAGCTTAGGGACATCAGGCTTCTTTGGAGTACCTGCCTAGAAAACTTTTCTATATAAGATGACACTCCCCCCCCAAAAAAAAAAAGAAAGCAAACCTTAAGAACCTTTGAGCCAAGGGAAGGCATGGCTGGCCTTGAACTCCGAGAGCAAGCGTCGCGCATTTGCAAGGATGGCCATGGGTTTTATAGCTTTTCAGCCCTAGGCTTATAGGAACTTGAGTTGAGGGTTGTAGGTTGCAAGGTGCAAGGTGTTCTGGGGCTAGCTGAAGGAGTTGAAGGCTTACTGCTTTAGGGCAGAAGGGTTTCAGGGTCTTGGGTTTGGGTTTGTTTCGGGTTTATAAGGTTGTGTATGGAGGTGTGTTCGGATTCAATTGAGTATCGAGACTTCAGCACTCGTTCGGGCAACAACATGCCGCCATGTCAGACAGCCGCCACGCTTGCTTATCCTCAACCTGAATGGGGGCCAGGTCCTTATCCTCGACCAGAACCGCCACGATTGCTTATCCTCAACCTGAATGGGGCCCAGGTGCTTATCCTCAACCTGAACGGGGTGCAGCCGCCACACTTGCTTATCCTCAACCTGTGGGGGCCAGGTCCTTATCCTCGACCAGAATGGGGTGCAGCCGCCACGCTTGCTTATTCTCAATCTTTCACGTCTGCGCCAGGTGCCTATCCTCAACCTGAATGGGGTGCAGCCGCCACGATTGCTTATCCTCAACGCCAGGTGCCTGTCCTCAACCTGAATGGGGTGCAGCCGCCATGCTTGCTTATTCTCAACCTGAATGGGGGCCATGGGGGCCAGGTGCCTATCCTCAACCTGAATGGGGTGCAGCCGCCACGCTTGCTTATCCTCAACCTGAATGGGGCCCAGGGGCTTATCCTCAACCTGAACGGGGTGCAGCCGCCACGCTTGCTTATCCTCAACCTGAATGGGGGCCATGGGGGCCAGGTGCTTGTCCTCAACCTGAACGGGGTGCAGCCGCCACGCTTGCTTATCCTCAACCTGAATGGGGGCCATGGGGGCCAGGTGCTTGTCCTCAACCTGAATGGGGTGCAGCCGCCACGATTGCTTATCCTCAACCTGAATGGGGCCCAGGTGCTTATCCTCAACCTGAACGGGGTGCAGCCGCCACGCTTGCTTATCCTCAACCTGAATGGGGGCCATGGGGGCCAGGTGTTTGTCCTCAACCTGAATGGGGTGCAGCCGCCACGGCTTATCCTCAACCTGAATGGGGCCCAGGTGCTTATCCTCAACCTGAACGGGGTGCAGCCGCCACGCTTGCTTATCCTCAACCTGAATGGGGGCCATGGGGGCCAGGTGCTTGTCCTCAACCTGAATGGGGTGCAGCCGCCACGCTTGCTTATCCTCAACCTGAATGGGGGCCAGCTCCTTATCCTCGACCAGAATGGGGTGCAGCCGCCACGCTTGCTTATTCTCAATCTTTCACGTCTGCGCCAGGTGCCTATCCTCAACGTGAATGGGGTGCAGCCGCCACGATTGCTTATCCTCAACGCCAGGTGCCTGTCCTCAACCTGAATGGGGTGCAGCCGCCACGCTTGCTTATTCTCAACCTGAATGGGGGCCATGGGGGCCAGGTGCCTATCCTCAACCTGAATGGGGTGCAGCCGCCACGCTTGCTTATCCTCAACCTGAATGGGGCCCAGGGGCTTATCCTCAACCTGAACGGGGTGCAGCCGCCACGATTGCTTATCCTCAACCTGAATGGGGCCCAGGTGCTTATCCTCAACCTGAACGGGGTGCAGCCGCCACGCTTGCTTATCCTCAACCTGAATGGGGGCCATGGGGGCCAGGTGCTTGTCCTCAACCTGAATGGGGTGCAGCCGCCACGATTGCTTATCCTCAACCTGAATGGGGCCCAGGTGCTTATCTTCAACCTGAACGGGGTGCAGCCGCCACGCTTGCTTATCCTCAACCTGAATGGGGGCCATGGGGGCCAGGTGCTTGTCCTCAACCTGAATGGGGTGCAGCCGCCACGATTGCTTATCCTCAACCTGAATGCGGCCCAGGTAGGTGCTTATCCTCAACCTGAACGGGGTGCAGCCGCCACGCTTGCTTATCCTCAACCTGAGTGGGGGCCATGGGGGCCAGGTGCTTGTCCTCAACCTGAATGGGGTGCAGCCGCCACGATTGCTTATCCTCAACCTGAATGGGGCCCAGGTGCTTATCCACGGGGTGCAGCCGCCACGCTTGCTTATCCTCAACCTGAATGGGGGCCATGGGGGCCAGGTGCTTGTCCTCAACCTGAATGGGGTGCAGCCGCCACGATTGCTTATCCTCAACCTGCATGCGGCCCAGGTGCTTATTCTCAACCTGAACGGGGTGCAGCCGCCACGCTTGCTTATCCTTAACCTGAATGGGGGCCATGGGGGCCAGGTGCTTGTCCTCAACCTGAATGGGGTGCAGCACGATTGCTTATCCTCAACCTGCATGCGGCCCAGGTGCTTATCCTCAACCTGAACGGGGTGCCACGCTTGCTTATCCTCAACCTGAATGGGGGCCATGGGGGCCAGGTGCTTGTCCTCAACCTGAATCGGGTGCAGCCGCCACGATTGCTTATCCTCAACCTGAATGGGGCCCAGGTGCCATCCTCAACCTGAACGGGGTGCAGCCGCCACGCTTGCTTATCCTCAACCTGAATGGGGGCCATGGGGGCCAGGTGCTTGTCCTCAACCTGAATGGGGTGCAGCCGCCACCTTTTCCCAACGCCCACCCCCCCCCCCCACAACCCCCGCACCCCGCCCAATTCCGCTCAGGCAGGAGGGCCAGATGCTTCTCATAGACCTGACCGGGGTACAGCCGCCACGTTTGCGCAACCTCACGGCCCCCCCCCCCCCTGCCAGTTCCACTAAGTCAGGTGCTTATCCCCAACCTGAGCAACCTGAGTGGGGTGCAGCTGCCACGTTTTGTTATCCTCAACCTGCATGCGGGCCATGGGCTGTTGTCTGCGTTTTAGGTTGCGTAATCGTTTTTCATGGCAGAGCAAGGGCGAGCATTCAGCATGTTTGTTCTCCCGCCGACATAGAACACCAAGTGAAGCATAGCACGATGCACATGTTCGCGTAAGGATCACTGATGATCATATGCAGAATCAACAGCAACTCATCCTGCTTACGAGAGAACACATGAACAAGGGTAAACGTTAGTGAGGCTTCGTCATGATTGAATTACAACGGTCCTACTTTTGGTACACGGTGCTTTAGGCAGATGACATCGTTGATCACAGAATGGGAAGGCGCTGAAGTGTACTGGCCTGGTCGCCTTTGCACCAAAGTCGACTTTGCCATGTTTGAGGATGCGGCTTTGGGCTTGCCTCCGGAAAATTGGGTCAAAGGCCGCGTGCGGCCCAACCTGGGAAATCGCATTGATTTGGGCCCATACATCTTGCAACAGCCTGGGAATGCTGATGACGATGATTGGGTCTTTGTTGGCAAACTTGATCAAGCGATGTGGGCAATGCGCATCAACTCTTGCGCAGGCAGAAACCCATATGTGCTAGTTTTGAGGAAAATGCAGCCAGGAGATTTGGTGCGGACCTGCGATCTCGAGCCAGACTGCACGGCCTCGGGTGAGGTGATCGCCGAGGATCACAAGTTTGAAGACAGGTCGGCAACCGCGGAAGATGTGTTGGGGCCCCCAACGAAGCGACTCCGCAAGAAAACGGACCCTGCCAATGTGAAGTTGCATCGCGTGCTGTCGCATTCAGCCTTGCGTGAGCACGTTTGCTTATCCTCAACCTGAATGGGAGGGCACCTGTGTGGGCGGCAGGTGCCTATCCTCAACCTGTTTGGGGTGCAGCCGCCACGCTTACGGATCCCAGTGCCACGTCTGCTTGTCCACCTGTGTGGGTGCCAGGTACCTATCCTCAACCGGAATGGGGCGCAGCCGCCACGTTTACGGATCCCAGCGCCGCGTCTGCTTATCCACCTGTGTGGGCGCCAGGTGCTTATCCTCAACCGGAATGAGGCGCAGCCGTGCCTGACTGGGGGGCAGGTGTCCCCAACCTGTATGAGGTGCAGCCGCTATGCTTGCTTATCCTAACCTGAGTGGGGGCCAGGTGAGGCGCAGCCGCCACGTTTGCTTATCCCCAACCTGAATGGGGGCCAGGTCCTTATCCTCAGAATGAGGCGCAGCCGCCACGTTTGCTTATCCCCAACCTGAATGGGGGCCAGGTCCTTATCCTCAACCAGAATGGGGCGCAGCCGCCACGTTTGCTTATCCCCAGCCTGAATGGGGGCCAGGTCCTTATCCTCAACCAGAATGAGGCGCAGCCGCCACGTTTGCTTATCCTCAACCTGAATGGGGGCCAGGTCCTTATATCCTCAATCAGAAAGGTGTGCAGCCGCCACGTTCGGCCGCCACGTTTGTCCCAGGTGCTTATCCTCAACCTGAATGAGGTGCAGCCGCCGCGCTTGCTTATCCTCAACCTGAATGGGGGCCATGGGGGCCAGGTGCTTGTCCTCAACCTGAATGGGGTGCAGCCGCCACGATTGCTTATTCTCAACCTGAATGGGGCCCAGGTGCTTATCCTCAACCTGAACGGGGTGCAGCCGCCACAATAGCTTATCCTCAACCTGTCACGTCTGCGCCAGGTGCCTATCCTCAACCTGAATAGGGTGCAGCCGCCACGCTTGCTTATCCTCAACCTGAATGGGCTCAGCTGCTTATCCTCAACCTGAATGGGGTGCAGCCGCCACGCTTGCTTATCCTCAACCTGAATGGGGGCCATGGGGGCTAGACTTTCAAAATTTTAATTCTAGAGGTTTGGGTCCGATATGCAAAGATCCCCAGACCTTCAAAATTTGAAATGTAGAGGATGTATTCAGATATCCAGAATTTACCAAATCCTTCAAAATTTGAATTCCGAAAGTTCCAGAGATTTTGAATCGATATCCAAAGATCCCCAGACCTTCAAAATTTGAATCCTGGAGGAATGCTGGAGATTTTGATTAATTATCCAGAAATCCCCAGATCTTCCAAATCTGAAATCTAGAGTTTTGGGATCCATATCCAAAGATTCCCAGACTTTCAAAATTTTAATTCTAGAGGTTTGGGCCGATACAGACCTTCAACATTTGAATTCTGGCGCAAGCCCCCTCACCCCAGGCCCCCCATCCCCCCCAAGCCCAACCAACAAAAATAGAAAATATTTAAAGGCAAAAAACAAAACCCGGCAAAACCCCCCAAAACCCCCCAAAACCCCCCAAAACCCCCCAAAACCCCCCAAAACCCGACAAAACCCCGGACACAAACCCTATACAATTTCTATAAACTCTAAACCCTAAACCCTAAACCCTAAACCCTAAACCCTAAACCCTAAACCCTAAACCCTAAACCCTAAACCCTAAATTCCCACCCAGGCCTGCTTAGGCCGTACCCACCCTCTTCTAGGGTGCCTGGACCCAGCACTACACCCGACAGCGATTAACACCATCGCTTGGACTTATTATGCAAGCCTAAAGAGTTGTGTTGAGCGTGAGCTGCACCTCCAGTGCCGGTGCAGTACCCCGCCTGGGGTACCCCGCCCCCCTTCTCCGATTCTCAAGTATTTTTAAGAAACCCGGCCCCCCCTTGGCCCCCCACTGGCCCCCCCGCCCCCCCCCCTCCCCCCCCCTCCTCCGCCCGCCCCTCCCCCCCACCCCCCCGCCCCCCTCCCCCCCTCCCCCCGCCCCCTCCCCCCCCCCCTCCCCCCCTCCCCCCCTTCCCCCCCCCTTCCCTCTCCCCCCCTGCTCCCCCCCCTCCCCCCCCCCCCCCCTCCCCCCTCCCCCCCCCCCCCCTCCCCCCCCTCCCTTGCCCCCTCCCCCCCCTCCCCCCCCTTTCCCCCACTCCCCCCCCCCCCCCTTGCCCAGCTCCCCCCGCCCCCCCCCCCCCCCGCGACCAAAGCATGGGGCATGGGAATTTAGGGCGTTAGCCCGAAACCCTAAAAGGAGAAAAGTTGGGTGGATGCCTGCGTAAGCAGGGGGTGGGAAAAATAAAACAACCCAACCTTTCTGGTTGTGGTGGCTCCAACTTCAATACACGCCGCCGCGACATATGCCGCCCCCTCACACCCCCTGGGTGTGTTGGGGCGCCATCTCCGCATGAAATCTACTGCCGCGGCGCGGCGAGAAGCCCTAAACCCTAAACCCTAAACCCTAAACCCTAAACCCTAAACCCTAAACCCTAAACCCTAAACCCTAAACCCTAAACCCTAAACCCTAAACCCTAAACCCTAAACCCTAAACCCTAAACCCTAAACCCTAAACCCCTAACCTAAACCCTAATACCCTAACCCCTAAACCCTAAACCCTAACCCTAAACCCTAAACCCTAACCCTAAAACCCTAACCCTAACCCTAAACCCTAACCCTAACCCTAAGCCTAAACCCAAACCCTTAAACCCTAACCCCTAAACCCTAAACCCTAAACCCTAAACCCTAAACCCTATACGGGGGGACAACCAAGGAAGGAAATCAACTCCCCTAATCGCCCTGAACTTATATTTCCCAGATCGAACCAAGAAACAACCAAGAACACGGATAAGAGCAACAAGGAAGGGGCACCCTTACACAAGTAGAGGGGCACTAACCCAACCCTCACTCCCAAACACGGACTTTTTTCTTTGGACGGGCTGGCCATCCTTGAGCCAAACATAGTTTACGGGTTCATAACCCTTTCAACTTCCAACACTAACTCCTTTCTACAATACCAATTGCAGCTCCGCACTCCCCCTGTCCTAGGATTTCCTAGGACACATTGGAGATGCAGGTCTTTTGGCCAAAAACTGCCATTAAGGCAGCAGCCAGCTGCTTGAAATGCAAGTTGTGGTTTAACGTCTTCCAGGACTGAATTATAGCACGTTGGCTAACCTACCACCCATAGAGAATCTTTTTTCACCATGATCCTCTCATCACTGAAGACTCCCTGGCCTTCTTCACCACAAACCGTGGTCTTCGCTACGCGAAAAGCTACTTACTTCTACTATCAGGGATTTCCATACCCTTAATAGTAACCACCACATTGTCAGCACATTGGCTGTTCCAGCGCACCCGTCTCCAGAAAGAGAAAAACTATCCCTTCATCCATACCATCCAATCACTTCTTTTTCCGATTGTTGGCAATCTTGAGGTGAAGTTGCAGCAGAATATACTCCAGGTCCGAAACTGTAAGAACAGGATCCTGTACGCCCCTTTGAATTGAGGATACCAGTCCTTCTCTCTTTGCGTCCTCAATCGCCTGGCAAGATTGACCCAGCTCTTCATTCGCAGTGGCAGACCCTGGTGCATCCGCATCAGATGGACGATCCTTTTCTTCAGGATCTTGAACCATTACCACCTCTTCTTTTTTGGGACTCTGACTTTTCTCCCTCTTCTTTGTCTTTCCACCGACATTTGACTTTGTGCGCGTCTTCGAGGATTATTCCACTGCAGAAGCCACCACATTGGATGTTGATCCACCCTTCTCAATGATCGTTGGCATCTTCTTCGGCTTTGGAACCATGAGAGTGTAAGGATCTTCGATAGCTGCAGCTTTCCTCTTCTTTTTTTACCTTTTTCTTCTCTTCTTCAACGGCAACCTCCGTCTCCGATGTCTCAACCACTCCTTTTTCGGCAGGAATATCCTTGCTGGACTCCCTTTCTAGGGATCTCTTTTTACCTTTTTTGGGATCCTTTTCCTCTCCCAAATTGGCTCGCTCATACCATATCCTCAGGTCATTGACCCATTCTTCCACCTCCGCGAGCGAAACCTCATACGACTTCACTACTTCGAGAAGTTCCAGCACGGACAACATTTCAGTAGTCCACGAAACCCATACTTGATCTTTTTGGTCAGCATCTCCAGTGAACTTCAGGAGTTTGAACAATGGGTCCGCCTCTGCCCGAGCCAAATCTGGCTTGCCACCGGAGAGAAATGAAATCGCCTCCATCAACAGTTCCTTCATCTTGGTCTCTTCGTCATAAACCATAAAATCCTCCTCATCATCATCGAACTGTTCAGGAGAGATCTCCTTTTCTCCACCAATTGCACCAGACTTTCTCCTTGGACCATCCCTTGGGGGCGTCCTTGGAGACCTTGGCCTCTGTTTTTCCAACGGAACACCATGCTCGAAGACACACCTGTCACCAAATCGACACTTCCCAGACCGAGCAAACTGGACGCACCTCACACCAGTTGCATCATGCGAGAACTCACAATCCTTTCCAGCGAAACATTCTCTCCCTGCCACATAGTATTTGCACCAATATGAATGTAGCACCACATCATCTTCGGAATGGATGAATTTGCAGTCATCACCGAATTTGCAGCGATCTTTCCCCCTGCCGAACCAATAGCAGAAACCCTTCTTCCTCTTCTCCAAGCGCTCTGCCTCATACCGGTCCATAGGGCGATTGTGCTCTACATGAACATTGCCATGTACCTGGTGACTGCTCCCTTCACCCGACGTGCTATCAGTATTTGGTGCTTGGAGTACAGCTGGAAAACCTGGCCTTGGTCCTACCACCTTCATGATCGGTTTTCCGCCAACTCCTTAGCCATGCTGAGACGATCCAAAAACATTGAACATCTTCATGAAGGCCTTTCTAGTGCCAATCTTCTGCACCCTTTTGATTGGACGTTTCATTGCTCCAACCTTGCATCCAGATGCGTTCAAACGACACAACCTCCTATAACCAACTCTATGTCCCTTCTTCCAAAGAGCCATAAGAATTTTAGAGGCAGTAACATTCTCCACCTCTACCTTTTCAAATGGTCCCTCACTTCCCGGAACAAACCCATCCATATCTGAAGACCTTTCCATCTTTTTTGACACCACTTCGTCGAGGTAGTCTTCTGAGATCCAGGGTAAGTTCCCCTTAGAGGAAGGATTGTCATCATTGTTTGGTCCTTCACCAGGATACCCTTTTGTGCTGTCAAAGATCTTACCAGTAGTGCGGTCCTGCATAGAGAAATTCGAAGCCACGCGGGAGTACACTGACCACAAGAAAATCCTTGTGTCCGCCAGTCTTGATGACCCACTGGATGTCTCCTCTTCCGGAGACACTTCTGGCGCTTTGCCATCCCCTCCAGTGTCACCACTTGTCTCACCTCCAGCATCTTCAATGGGAATAAGGGATTCATTGTTCCCTTGATCAAGCACCGCACCCTCTGATCCAAGAACTTCCAGCACCGCTGTCGAAGGATCCACCTCTTCATCAGCATCGTCGTCCATCCTTCTCCAGAGAGCCTCCAATTGGTCCGCACAAGTCGCCGCCTGAAGGAACTCCATCAACCGAGCCCTCCCGCGCTGCCAGAGAAATTCCGAAATCATCACCGACCCTTGGGCTCCCAGATTCAGGAATGGGTGAACCATTTTGGCTACCCTCGCCATAAGTTCAATATGAACTTCCATGCCTGGACTGCGGCTCCAATCATAGGCAATTGCCTCCATAGCAGTTCCAAACTTGTCAGTGTTTTTGAATTCCCCTTCCAGACCAGGAGACAACAAGGCACCCATCACTGAAAGAGGATAATTCCCCACCGCCGGCAAGCACGGGTTTTCATGGAACGAATGATGCAGGTCAGTATAATGTCCTTGATCTCTC